AACTCAGACAGAACTCAGACAGAACTCAGACAGAACTCACCGAGAAACAGCAAATACCACTCACTACACTCTACGATTGTATATATATTGTTTTATAGTAAACATTTAAAACATTGTTACAAAAGGTGTGTTAACCTCAGTCTAAAATCTTATCACATCACGACTCTTCGTGCATTAAGTTGAACGAGGAATAGCGAACGCAAACGATCCGTTGAACCACGGACAGATCGTCATCCTGCGTCGCAACAGACAGAAAATGCAATAAAAGCGACGCAGGAACGATTTTTCGAGCAGTTCGAAAGCGCAGAGGCCATTTAATCGAAACAATACGATTCAGCCGCAACTTCAACGCCACCGTTTACGCCAACACCGTTTCTACGGTTCGTGCTTTAATCGTGTCGCGCGCTCCCTACCCAGGAACCACGTTCGAAAATTAACGAGCACGTAGGCGAAACGGATATCCTGTCCGCGTAACGCGCGAGCGACTGTAATCGAGGATTTAAACGTTGTTTGTGTCAGGTGCGAATGAAACATACCCGGTGTCGGAGTTTTCTGCTTCTGGGCCAATTAGCTGGTCGCCATGCGCGCGCGCGCGGTCGTTTCAGCGGCTGTTTGTTAAGCGTTTCTGCGGTTCGCGTTACAGCTGTATCTCGTTCCGCGAAATAACGCGTCGATAATTCTGTTCGTCGGCCCCTGCCGCGGATACGGCCTCCCTTTCGACTATAATTTCGCGACATTTCGCGTCACAGGATCTTCATCCCCCATTCTACGCCCGTTTTGATCCATGAAAACTCCTTATTCCACAAAAATTTTCACTCACATTAATAACAATAATAGTGAAGAATTTGCAAATACAATAACGTACAATTTTAGTTATCATTCTATAGTGTATAATACAATAGCATCTTTGAATCTGAGAAAACGAAATTTGTAGTCTCGAATTGATTGTAGCTGATGACACCAGTTTAATCGACGTTCCATCGATCTTATTTCGATCTAAATACCCCTCTTGCTCCATTAAACTATCGCAGTTACGCTCGCTGGGACGTTAGCTCGAAGTAGCGCGATTTCGTGCGTTACCTGCGCCTAATGTTCGTCAGTGGCGTTCGTCGTAATCGCTACGCGATTTGTAATACGTTCCTAAATTTATGGTTTATAATTTAGAAGACTGCCGCGCGCCCGGAATCCTGAATAATGCTCCCGAAGATGGGGTTGTACGTGCGCGTGTTCGGTTACCTCGGCTAATTGGGAGAGAAGGAGGTGGCCTCTCGGTTCGCCGCGATAACGTTGCAAGTCGGAAAGTAAGTTGGTAACGTGGCGGGCGACGAACCCCGCCCCGGGAAATCGTAAAGTAACTTCGAAGGAATTACGAGGGGACGAAGATTACTTTCCCGCGCAGCGCCTCGAATTTCGCCGACTTCGCCGGCCAATATAACGCATGACGAGACCCGACGAGAACTAACTTTGAAAAATTCCTTTTCCCGCGTGGAAATTACTTTTACACGGGGGCAGGGGCAATCCACCCCTTTTCCCTTCCCTCCTCCCGCGCCGGGGAATATTTTAATTGCGTGCACCTGCATATTCAGCGGCCCCGGGACTCCGTGGCTCGGAATATTCGTGACTCGTTTCCGGAGAATTTGCTGCCGGGCGAAGGACCCGGTGGGCGAGATCCCGATAACCGGAAGTCTCATTTATTATGCGACGACGCCCTTTGCACTCAGCACCCGCTATATAATATATTTTATACACTTCCCAGCACCCGCGAGGAATTTACCTGTTTAACGGGGGAAAGCCAATCCCCAAACTCCGCGGATCTTCTCCAATTAATCGTGTCTCCTGAGCATGGTGGTTTATTTATTTATTGTATACACGTAACAAACCGAGGCTGCGCCCAGAGTCTCGTAGTGGACTTCTTCTTACAGTATACGTGCTTTTACTGTCTTCACTTTTATTCTTAAATGTATGTTATCTCAAGAAAATAGAGTACACTGTCTTGGAAAAGTACTAAAACTTTAGATGCGTGCAGTTCCGAAACTACTAGTGTTTTATTAATAATTAAGCCACTGTTAGAAGCGGCAAGGCTTCCCCTTTAAAACGCTTTTTGGTTTTTGACGATCGGACTTCCCGTTTCGGAGATATCGTAATTTATGTAAAAGGTAATTTTTTTAATTCGACTATCTCTGTCCTCGTCTAGCAGAGTCGGACCTCCTTGTCGCACGTGCGTGGGCTGACCGACCTCGCGTACGTGACTGTCGTGACCCAGTTCCGGGCGTAGTATTTCCAAGAATTTACTACGCACTGTTTACTATCTACGCGCGCGAGATGAATGAACTCGCGCGCGCGCAACAAAAACGTAAACAAAGCTTCGCGGACCCTTATATCTCCGTAACTAGCCACCGCATCGACTTGAAACTAAAATCGCTATATCTCCGGAACTAATAACGCTATCGACTCGTACAAACGCTCGTTTTAAAGGGTATTTCATCCTCTATCCGATGACTATAAAAACTACCACATTTTATGTTGTCTTTTATGTTTATTTTGCAATTTACTTTGACGTGACATACTAAAAGAAGTTTCAGCAATTCCTATCGACTATACGACTGGATTATTTATGAAATAAAATTCGTATTCAAAGGGTGTTTTTCAAAATTACAATTATTGTCAAAATTCCATGAATATCATTGACGTGGGGACACTTAAGTTATTTTTTCTTCGATAAAGAGCATGGACACGATCTGATAGAGAGTACTACGCGAAATTTCAACCAAATTCTCGAACATAGTCGGCCCTTTCGAGACTCTAGCTGTGTACGATTCGTAGGGGAACAAGTTGGAGGATCGTATCTTTCGTCAATTTAGGGTCCCGCGTAATTGATCGTAGACTTCAGCGATTTGTCCAGATGGGAACAGGGTGGAGTTCCTCGCAGCAGGGGCGGCGGGGTCTCCGTTATCGGAAAACGAGCGAAATTATTTAGCCCGGTAGAGTCTGAAGGCAGATGTCGCGAAAGTTACGCGAGGAACCATTTCTAACCCCATTTCTGAGGCCGACTTCGTATCTCCGGGGGATCATAATTCCCGCGATATCTCGGATCGTTGTCGCTCGGCCCTGGGCACACGGACGCGTTACAAACTTACTTTCCAGGACTTGTAACTGTTATCACGGTGACTCGGGGGCCTCTTCGTTCTCCGCTGAAACCAGCCCGCTTAGAGGATTCTAATTGCACCGGAGAAAAATAGCATTCGACTTAGAGTTAGCCATTTTTATAAACTGGAGAGTAAAATACAATCGATCTAGTAGCGAATTCGACCTTCCAAGCGTCTGAAATTTCTTCCCTCAAGGTCAATCGAGGGGGCAACCCCCACCATCCTACTCGTTCAGCCGCCCTATTTCCCGCCCTGTAGCTTATTTTAGTCATTTGAAATATTCTTGAGCGTTTATAATCCCTAAAATCTTCGAGATCCTAATGATCAACACCACCGAAGAAATCCAGCGATACGGTAAGGCAGGTAATTTGTGGCTCGATTCGTCACCGTGATCGCGTTGGAGGGTGAGCGGTAGTGGCCTTAAGGGGCCGATTGATTCGTCGGAACAGATCGCCCATCGGTTGTAACGCCGTCGGGCGAATCATCGATCGTCGATCAACGTCCCTCTAAAATTAAATGGCCGCGAAACGAATGTCTCCGGCTCTGTACACTGTTACGAGCGTTTCGCGCGTCGCTGTTTCGATCCGCCGTCGGTTCTCGCGGCAATAAATTAATTCCCTTGGCGCAGCGTTTGTCTGACACCATCCGAAGCGCCGTGACGCGGTTCCCCCCGTGGACGGGGTTGGCGCGGCGTCGACGGAAGGGACGTCGAACGCGCTTAAAATTGATGGTTAATTCAAAACCACCGCAGGCCTGCGACTGAATTTGACCGAGGCAAATAACAGGGACGACCGTGGAGGGGGCGGGGCGGGTGGGGGGCCAGGTTGATTCGCGGCCTGCAACTGTAAACACGAATAATGGAGAGTACCGATTGGTAAATTGTGTGCTCCCGGTCGTCCGATGCTGGTTCCAAACCCCCTCCCTCCCACCGTTTTCCTCTCGTTCTGTTTCCGTTCGCGTTTCTCCAATCCACCCCCTGTTATTTCTCGTTAGTGTTTTTTTCTCCTTCGCGAGTTTGTCGCGAGTTCCTCGCGCGTTCCGGCCTCGAATAATCCGCGCCACCGAGCGTCCCCACTCAGGAGAAGGCTGTTTTCGTTGTTCGTTCGATCGTGACGTCCTTTCCCCGGGCATCGTCGGGTTTCTCATCGATATGGAAAGGGTTGTTTCCGGGTGAACGATAAGCGCGCCGTTAAAAGCCCTCGGAGATATTTATAAAGTATTCCGTGGCATCTTTTTCCGTTCGCCGCGGTATCGAGTGGTCGATCGATCCCTCGTATTTCATGAATTATTCAACGTACCCGCGGCATTGTGCATCGGGCATCGTTGTTAACGTCGACGGTGACTTGTGCGCGAGAATATGTCGCGTCGGTTCCGCTTAAACTCCGACGGTCCAACGTTCTTGGCACCCGTCGAATCCGTTTCGTCGTACATACGTCCTCGATCACGCTGTTATTTAAATGGCCCGAGACTTCCCGAACTTATACTACTTGTCAAAAGTTCTTTTTGGACTTTGTATATTGGGATGCAAATACTAGGAGTAGTCGTATTCGTTTAAAACTATTCTTGCGTGTAGTATTTGCTCGAACGTACGTCTAAACATATTTCAATTTCATAAAGATCAGCAAGGGGGTGCACCTTTTCACCTACTTCACTTTCATAAAAAAACTACATTTACTATGTCTCGTTCTAAGTACGTAGAGTTTCACAATCATAAGGCTACATGTTGTCGAGTCTCATATGTTAAAATCATCACATTTTTACATTTATGAGTCATTCAATGGTGCATTATTCGAGTAACGAATTATCCAGCAATCCACGAAGTTTCTAATTCCCCAATAATAACCTCTTTTCCAGATACACGGAGAACGCAAAGGCGCTGTCGAAAGCGTACAGAGACCGTCCCTCGTCGCCCATGGAAACAGCAGTATGGTGGGTGGAGCACATCGCCCGTAGCAAGGGTAGTCCATACCTGAGAAGCCATGCCGCGAACATGTCGTGGTGTACGCGCAACCTCGTCGACGTGATCGCCTTTCTGGTCGTGGTCCCTTCGCTCGTCCTGTACTTAATATTAACAAAGTGTTCCTCGTCCAAGCGGAGGCGCGAGAGACGCGACAGCAAACGAGCATCGACGAAGAAGAGGAATTGAGGGGTTGCTCGGCGCGGGTTAAAAGAGCTTCTTCGCGACACGTTCAACAGACTGTCCCCGAAAAGTTCGATTTTTATTTCGGGTCGTGGGACGCTTTATTCTCGATCGCCGCGATAAATTAAATCATCAACGGGACCTGGCGTACTCGTGATCCTGATTACCAGGGAACTCGAGACGAGAGTCTCGGGCAATTCTAGCGGACGCTCGTTCCCGTTTGGCTGTTTCGTGGACGAACCGTTGCGGTAAGAAAAAAAGCGAAAGAGGAACGCGGAGTCGAGCTCTAAGGGTCGGCGAGGAAAACGAGCGAAAAGGGGTTGGGAGGAGAGAAAGGGAACCAGCTTTGCGGGCATTACTCGGTATTTCCCAGGTGGCCGAGTCACCGACTGCGTCAACCGGCTTCCGCTGGCAACAACGGCGAAGAGAACAACGGGGGAAGAAGGGGAGGTTGCATTGGTTGCGGGGTGGGTAACGGTTCCGTGGAGAAGACGTACTCGTAACGCGCTCCAAGACGAAAGAGGGTGGACCGCAGACGTCTGCGACGACAACAAAGATGGATCGCGTCTGCCGTCGTCGGATTAAACGCGCGAGGATGGTTCCCCGTCGGTCGTACCCTCGCCCCGCAGCCTGCCAGCCACTTTCGTCGTCGCGGGATTCCGTCGAGCCGCGCGAGGAACGCGTAACCGGCTCATAAAGATACAAGCGGGCCGATAAACGCGCCGGTTCTCGTACCCGGGAGATAACAGCCTACGAAGGGACGCCATTGTCTCTCTTTTCAGCGATGAGATCGGTCAGATGCCTAGCGATATTCCCGATCGTTCGAGAGAATCGACAATTGGGACGCCAGGTGGAAACATTTGCGTTTCGAACCGAATTTAAAGATAACTTGACAATATCTAATGTTTGAGAGACATACATTATTTGTTCTTTTTTTATCTTCACATAAATATTCTTCGTAAAATTTCGACAAGGTATACATGGTGCTACGCGTTCCACGGTTCTTGAACTATTTAAATGTTCCCGCTGGAAAGACAACAATTGTATTAATACGTCCCTTGTTGCATCTTTGTTTACTTTACTTTACTTCGTGTATATATGTACATTCTTTTCTGTTCCTCCCTCCTATTCCCGCGTTGTATTTACACCGTGGTGTTCTGTATTTTGTAGTCGAGAGTTTTCCCAATAATAATAACAATAATGAAAAAAGTTCGCTCAAAGGCATCCACCACAGTGGGGAACATTTCTCTTTTAGTCGAACGGCATTATGCTCTTTGCAAACTATAGGGAGCCATAGATTTGTTCGACGGATAACGGGGGAAAAGGGAGCAAAGGGAATCGTCGACGAGGCTACGATTTTTCCTTTTGCGTATCAAATACCATTACGCCGAATAACGTAGCTTTTAATCAATCTGATGCTATTTATTATAATTCATACAAATAGAGGGCCCTTATTTTATATTTAAAAATGTCAAATCTTGCGTCTCAGACGAAAAATAACGCAGTGGGCGTGGCCTATCTTCAAAGTGGAGGGGATCGTGGTCTCGAAAGGCTCCAAGTTGATTTCGTTCCGACTGTAGACTCTCCAACGATTTGCACCCCCTTTTCTCACGTTTTTCTCCACTTTCCTGGAACAAAAAACCTTTTTGGGGATTTTTCTGCACGTCCTTGTGGTTTCGACGGAATAAAATAATTTATCGACCCGAGACAGGGTAGTTTCGCGAGTGTCGGGGCGCTACGTTGGCCGCGTTATCCCCCCGGTTGACCGGCGGATTTTCAATTACGTTCCCTCCGTGTGTATATAAATAAATCTTTTCCAAGTTTTCTTCGTTAATGTTTGCGCCGCCGGTGAAATATTAAAGCATTCGCTCTTGAAGCTGACGCATTAATCGTTGCAGCGGTTCGACAGTCGAGCGAGAAGCGAAAACCGGGTCACTTTTTACCCGCGGTGAAATCTTTTATCTATACCGGCAAGAATAAACTTTTGTACCAGATTTTTATCCCTGTACTTCGAACCACGTTCCACCGATGAAATCCGAAACCTTTTATCCGCAGGTAAACTAAACACTTTTATACGAATACTTTAAAATTGCATTTCCCAACGAAATGCATAATATTTTAACAACTAAAAATATTATTCGCGTGTGGAAATTATTATCATTGCATGTGGAATATCTGGAATGCTTGGCCCAAAGTGCTAGACAATTAATTAGTAAATTATCATTTCTCAGTTCCTCCCAGAATTCGCGTAAAGGTAAAACCCTTTTGGAATAGCCAATATATCATCAAACAGCGAAACGATTAACTACGAAATTGTCCACTGTGCTCGTCCAAGACAGAAAAATCGATGGACATTCGAGGCTCCATATCGTTCTCTGGCAAAGAAGCAACAATAGGGGTTTATTAACGTTCCCCCAATCGTGAAAATTTCGATATCCGCGCGTTTGGCGAGACGGGAACGTTGTAGTCCGGTTTAATATTTCGCTCGCGATAATATTTACCGATGGAAGGGATGATCCGGGCGCGGACGAAAGTTCGACGAGATCGCCTCAAAGGGAACTTACCTTCGCGAGTCTCCCCGGACGGACAGGAAGCTTTTTAAAAAGCGTTTCGTGGCCCCGGGGGAAAGTAGGGGCGCCGGGGCGGGGTGGGGTTGCTGGCGGCCAGAGAACGTACTTCCGGGCGATACAGCAGTTTTTTCACGGCGTAATGGAATGTAAAGTTCCCGATTAAATTGCGTCTTTAAGCGATCCTCCGCCCGGCGAGATATTTTTTGTGAAAATACAGCCAAAGTAACGGTGAAATATCGTTAGCGTGTCTTTAACGATCCCTCTCTTGGTTCGGGACCGGGCATCGGCTTCCAGAAACCCATTAACGGTTCGAGACACTGGCGAAAACGCGAAACCTCGTATAGTCGATGTCGCTAAAACGATTTTTTGAGACTCTTGATGAAACGATCGTGAACACATTAACCACGGGTGATTTTAATGATACAGAACTCCTTCCACACGTGTATATCAAAAATGTGATTAATATTTTTCTAATTAACCCGTTGCAACACGTGCAACCGGAGGTCCTGAGTTTCATTTGCACGTAAAACTCAGAAAGGATCGTTCTAAGAGATGAAACGGTCTATCAATTCTATAAAATCACCAGCGTGCAATTCCCACACTTAGAATCCTGGTCGTCGACCCAAGTATTTAAAGATTCCAAAATTCTTGGAACATTTCGATCACGATCCGAGCCTGATCGTATCACTTGGGTGGTTCGATGCATTCCTCGCGCGGAGGATCCTCCCCCGAGGACCTTGAGTCCACGAGTAACGGGTCAAACGAAACAAGATTCGGCTGTCTGTCGCTGAGCGTGGGATAGGTCACGTAATTCCGAGCCACTTTCGTTCGGTGTCGTGTCGGTTAAACGGGTACAAAGCGACGGGGAGAATCGGTCGGTGAAAATCGTGGGAACCGTTAGGGTCCTGCGACGCTCCTGCGAAACTCCCCCGGCGTACGTCGCGTTTCCGGTTTGTCGAAACGGGCAATTTTTTACTCGCTTTAGGAAACGTTATACCGCGAACGAGCGGGACGAAATTCGCGTCACGAGGCTCGAATTCGGGGCGAAACGGTTTCACCTTTCGCTGCCATCTGTACGGATCATTTTTCGAAATCCTTTGCGACTCTTTCACGATTATTTTTCACGAACGCGAACCCGTAACGTAGCGTAAACGGACGAAATAATTTTGTTGGTAAATATGAATAAGAATAGATAGATCCGATCGAGTTTATTGTTTATCGATATGTATGCTGATAATCCTGAGCATCCCTACGAACGCCAGGAATTACGGGACAGCCGGTGGTACGCCGACGGGGATCGCAGTCCCGAGGTAATCTTTCGGCGTGATTTTAGGTCAGGCGATCCGGATATGTTCCGCGAAAGCTCGCGCCAGGTTCAGCAAGAATCCGGATTTAATTAAGCTAATTAAATTCCGAATGCGCGTGCGTTTCTACCCGTGGCGGGCGAATAACGCGTAACAAGTGGATGGAATCAACGAAATTAACCGGAAGCAAAGGGCATACCGGTCGTGTCCGTGTAACCGTACAATATCCCCTCGGGGGGTGAGACGATATTTATTCATATTTCGTAATACGATTCCGTCCACGACCGCGGGAGTAGAATTCCAATATTTACGCGACCAGCAATCTAATTTAAACGTAATTCCTTCGCGTTCCAATTTAAACACCGCGATACCTCCTGTTTGCCGGAAAACTGAGCGTCGAGGGTCCCGTCTCTACCTACGTCGGGGAACTTTTCCAATTAGAGCAACGTTTTCCTTCAATTTCGTTGATTGACTGCGTCGTCGTTGCACACGGTGCGTCGTCATCGACCATAAGACTGTCCGTTTCGAACACGCGCCGAGGATCCGCCGGTTTCCACGCGTCTCTCGACGTTTGCGACTTCGATCTTGTGGAAAATTGTATAGCAGACTCTGGAAACGGTATATGGACGCTAAACTTAGAGCTAAACCTGACCAAACTATTTTGGGATTCACCTTCAAACCAGGGTAATTCATCTTGAAAAGCATTATATTTTTCTGCACTTTCTGCAAGTGCTTTGAATATCTTTTATAATTTGTGGAATTTTTTTGCATCACTGAATTTATTTGACTTTTATAAAATTTTCAAGGTGTAATGGGTTGATAGATAAATGTTCCGTGGAGTTTGAGATTGAAGTGGTCGAACGCCCATGGGCGTTTGCCGCGAGCGTGAATCGATCTATCGGGCGCCAATAACAATAAAAGGGTTAATGACTCGCAGACGAGACGGGAACCGTGAACCCGTGCTGGTTCCGCTGTCTATTAAAATGTAAATCCCGATCCGGAGTAGGGCAACAGGTACGCGATACACACCGGCTGGCGCTTCCTCCGTTTTCTTCTTTTTACGCTCGCGTCCCCATTTCCGATTCTGACGCGTATCTTCATCGGTATTTCACGGCGAGCTAATCGGCAACTGGCGATCATCCGTGGCGATATCATACGGGGCAAAAGAAACAATTTTAGAGACCTCTTTTCATCCTCCATCCTCTACCAAAACTCCTCTGTTTTCATTAGATTCGGAATTCGAAATCCGGTTGCTTAATTATATTAAAATTCTGTATTCATCGTTTACCCGTGTGTTTCACTTTTAGAGGGAGAATTTTATTACAAATGAGACCTAATACAAACATCTGAGTAGGCTCGTATCTCCTTGGAAAATAAATTATGGCGACTGGAAGCCATTGAAACCTCAAATCCTTGAGTGGAACATCGAAATTCCGATTCTTTAAGCGGACTCTCAATCTCAATTGAATTATTTTACTTAATGGAAATCAACTTTCCTTTAAAGCATTTAACAAGTGGAGGATTACCACAATTTTCAAATAATCACATTCACATATATCAAACAATTATTAGTTTTAATTTGTGGAGTCCACTTAAGGGTTAAAATTCGGTAGACATCGTTTCCCCATATATCCCAATTTTAAATGCAGAATTTTACTAAAACTAGAATCGAATAAAAACCTATGAGCTAGCAAGTTTGCAAGAAGGGAAGTGGGGGAAGAGAGACGTGCCGTTTCTCTACCTGTCCCCACCACCGATCAACTCTGCTCATGGTCTATCACCTTGGGAATAGGTTCAGTAAACGATCAGGGACTCTCGAGCGTACACAATAACATTGCGTCGCGATCTCATCAGCTCTTTACGTTCAATTTTCTGGCTATCCCGTGGTCGTTTTTCGGTGATCATTAATTATTAATATTCCCATCGTCCGTGAGATACGCGAGAATTGACTGGCAACAGGTGCTTCTTCCGTTCGGTTTTCGACGAACGGATCTTTCTTTCGGTAAAAGCGTTCGATGATCGACAGAACGTGGGCGTAATTTGCGGGAATAGTTGGCGCGATGGGGGGCAGGGTGGCCCGTAAACCGTTGCTTAAGCCATTAAAGGCCAACGTCTCGCGAAAATTCAGTTCGTTAACCGAGGACCGAACGACCCTCGACCGACCCCGCACTTTCAAGGAGTCTCGCTCGAGGAGCCCCCAGCCGAGTTCCGGGTACTCGCGTCGATCTCATCAAGAAACGTTTGTAGAGCGAGTAAGCTACTGCGGTCACCGAGACCACGCGTTACTCACGGTCCCACGAAAAGGACTCGTTTCCACCCAGCCACCCCCTCGGTCGTCTTCCGACCGACGGCATCGACTCCCTTCCCGTCTGTTTATTCGAGAAACGCCACTTCGAAACGGGGCCAAAGGAACACGGGTCGAGGCACTCGCCAACGAAGGAGCTGGCCAAACCGATGGGGACCAACCAGAAACGATATTACCCCAGGAATTCTCTACTTCCGGCTGGTATGTACATTTCTTACATTGTATTCTCGTTCGTTGGAAATCTCAAGGATTTTGTAGTTTCTTGTGTATTGAGAACGTCGATATTAACAATCGATGGATAGGAATAGAATTATCTCGTCTGGTCTCGTTTTATTTGCAAATACTGAAATGCTAGTAAAAGTGATTCTCTTGGTTCCTCTGGTTAACCTCTACAAAATCACGTTTTTCGTGTTCTCAAACTCAAAGAATTTCCTTATTTTAACATTCCATTGGAATAACATAGATGTTTGTTCATAGATCGCGAACGATTTAATTCCACCGTAAATTGTACGAGTAACGACCAAGAAATTTCGCGTTTAATTTTTGTATAACCGAGACTTGAGCGCCAACATTGACCCGACGAGTGGTTGGATCTGGACCAACCCTTGGAGGTCGAGCAGTCGAACCGTGAGGAGCTTCGTGTTGGCTGGTTGTTAGCGTCGAATGGAGAAGTTACAGATTGTCGTGGAAAGAGTCGCGTGCATCCCCAGCTCTCTTCGTCTCTCTCTCTATCTCCGGCGTTCATCCCCCGTTTCTGTCGGTTCCACCCTCGCAGTCTGTTGGTTAGGGTATAATTTGCGGGACGCGTTAAAGCACCTCCGCCTCCACGGAGCAGTTTTACGTCGAGAGATTAGCTCCTTTTGCCCCGACCGACGAGATTGCAACGTTTCGCCTTACTTCGCGCGGAAAAAACGATCCTCGTTCGACGGGAATATGGCTTCGACGCTTCTGCCTGTATACTCTTGGCACCGAGAGATTTTTTCTAGCGACTGGTAGGTTAGAGAACCGCTGTTCTGGACTCTGAAACAAAACCAAGTTACCGATATCCGCGCGGGGAAAGCCGATATCGGTCACGCGTAAAACGCGTGTCTATGTTCTCTATGCAGACGCACGTTTGGCGTCATAGTTTTCATTACGACGGGATTAGGGTGGATGTGCTAATCCTGTTCTACGTAGTAAATTTGCGCTGAGGGGATCGCGCGATCTGTCGATTTTAATCAGGCTGCGTAGAAACTTCTTCGAAACGGAATAGTTTGCCAGATATTAGATTATGAAGGTTATTGTAACTCGTAAA